GATTTACCAGAAGGGCAGACAGGGGGGAATGGATGAGGGTGCTGACAACACAGTGGACAGTGACAGGGATGGCAGAGTATGGAGCCTCTAGTGGGAGAGGAAGGCTGTCTATCTGATGAGTTTGTATTCATGCTCAGATGCCGAGGAGCTCAGAAGGTGGGCGACTGTGACCAGTGAATATATAGAATATAGAGATTAGAAATGCATGTGAAAACGTCTCAATGTCAATTGCCTTAAAATGAATTTTTCAGTATGAAACTGTGTATTTTAAGAACGAAGTGGAGATCTTTTTTAAACATTAAAACCGCATTTAATTTTATGCCTTATAGAGTTTATAATGAGTAAATGATTATATAAGCGTAATAATTCATCTGTAAACCTAAAAATGTACAGCCAATTTTGAAAGAGATGTACCCTAGCTCAGAAAAATGTTATTGAATAGGTTAATGCTGTTGTAATGAAATGCTTCTTCTAATTAAAAAAAAAAGTTAAAAACTATGGACATGATTAGTGCTTGCTTCAGCAGCGCATATACTAAATTTGGAACAGTACAAAGAATATTTGCACGGCTCCTGGACAAGGATGACATGCAAAGTCTTGAAGCATTCCATGTTTTTAGACAGTGTTCCCCATGTACTGCAGAGACAGCATGAGCTGACTCCTTTGACTGATAGAATCTTTATCAGGCACATTCATGGCAGTGATCACATAGGCACAGTCATAGTCACACACAGCATAAACAGATAGAATCACTCATGAGAACATGTAGGCATTCAGGACCGATAGGATGGGGAACACGCCACCAGACATACACACACTTACACTAATGGAGGGACATGTGGACTTAAATGTTTGCCTATTTAGAAACATGCACATATGTGCACATACATATTTCCCTCCTACATAGTTATGATCTACTCCATCTCTTACATGTGGACAGAAGTATAGGGGCCCATAAAATCTGAGGGAAATGGGTTAGGAGCTATGGAGTAGATTCACACTTCTTCCCAGAATCAAATGGGTAATCAGTAAAGGATGTGATGCTCTGGTGTCATTTAGTGGGAAGGTTTCCTGGAGCAAAAGTGTCAGAGTTGGGGCTTTAAACTTGGGCATTGTTGGTTTTCTATTGCTGTGACAAAACACTGACCAAAATCATCTTTGAAGGAAGAAGGTTTATTTGGCTTACAGCACAGAGTCCATCATCAAGGGATGCCAAGGCAGGAATTATGGGAAGGAATCTGGAGCACAGACTGTGGAAGTACTCTGCTTACTGGCTTGCTCCCGTGGCCTGTGCTCAGCCTGCTTTCTTATATAACACAGAACCACCTTCCCAGGGGTGGCATTGTCCACAGTGGGCTGGGCCCTGCCGTATCACTCAATAATTGAGAAAATTCCCCACAGACAGGGCCACAGGCCAAACCAATGGAGGAATTTTTCAACTGTGGTTGCCTCCAACTAGGTGTGTCAAGCTCACAGCTGAAGCTCTCCAGCACAATTCGCCCATTGTCAACTTTCGCCCACCACCTTTCCATTTCTTATTCCCAAGATCTCATGTTAATACTAATATTACAATATAAAACAGTACAACTTTAAAAGGCCCACAATCAAAAATTCAAACACTTTTAAAGCTGAATGTCTCTTTTTTAAAATATCCAGTCTCTCAACAGTGGACTCCTTTAAAATCCAAAATAATTTACATACTGACTTACTTCAAAAGGGAAGAACTGAGGTACACTTTAAGCGAAACCAAGGTCCAGTGATATAGCTGAATGGTGAATATCTGGGATTCAATCACAGTCTTCTGGGCTCTGCGGGCCTTGGTGAGCTCCACTTCTCTGGCTCTGCCATCTGCAACATACACAGTTTGTCTCACAGGTTCAGGCTGGCTCCACTCCACACCTGACTCCACATGGCGTTGATACCATGGTCCTGGTCTCTCGAATATCCTGGGGTCTCCATTGCAACTGAACCTATATCCTCACCAATGGCCTCTCTTTGTGCAAAGATTCTCTCCACTACCCTTCACATCTCCAACACCAGTACAACCTAAGAGACTCTTATACACTGCCAAGTTCTGAAACCAGAATGATATGCAGTCTTGGACCACTCTGGACCACAGTGTCTGGGCGCTGACCATTAGAGAATAATTCCAGATGATTTCTCTCAATCATGTGGCTTTTCTGTTACTAGTGGCTGATTCTTCAACCTCAGCTGACCAGCATGGAATATCCTAGTAAAGTACAAACTTCTCACTTCCAAAAAGCATAACTTAAAATATATCACACACAGCCCTGATAGTGCCTCCATTGTCTACACCTCCATTAGCATTATCTTCCAATTTTCTACAGGATATCTCACTCGTTTCCAAGCATTTTTCCAGTCCAAAGCTCAAAAACCATCCACAATCTTCAGACACATAGTGATCAAGTATATCACAGCAATATTCAGCTCTTGATACCAATGTCTGTCCTAGTTAACTTTCTAATGCTGTGTTGAAACACTGACAAAAACCAGCCTGTGGAGGAAAGGGTTAACCTGCCTTGAGATTCACTGTCCATCATCAAGGGAAGCCAAGGCAGGGACTCAGGGAAGGAACCTTGAGCACAGATCACAGAGGTACTCTGTTTACTGGTGGGCTCCCTTGGCCTTCACTCAGCCTATTTCCTTATACAACACAGGACCACCATCCCTGGGGCAGCACTACTCACAGTGGCCTGGGTCCTCCAATATCACTCAATAATCAAGAGAAAATGTCCCACAGACATGACCATAGGCCAATCCATCTGAGGAAATTCCTCAATTCAGGTTCCTTCTAACTAGGTTTGTCAAGTTAACAACTGATGCTACAACACACAGGCCTGAAGAGGGAGTGGGGTGTTGAACCCCTGGGGGCCCTGGGGATATTGGCTGCCATGGGATGAGTGAGACCCTGCCCCAATTAAACTTGGGGCCATCTCCACTCCTCATGGCGTGGTGGTGATATGGGAGCCCACCTTGATGGGCAGCGAGTTCCAGGATAGACCAGGATCAGAGGCTCAGCCCCTGACTACAGAACACCCAGTTTGTCATTCCCAACAGCATAGATGACAGCTTTAACAACTCTCCTGCACTGGGTACCAACAGCCCTTGGAACAGCAGGCCTCCGTCCAACCAAGAAAGCAAATCCAAGGACCCCATGTCACAGGCTTTCCAGAAAAGGCCCTGCCATGGAGACCCAGTGCTCTGCCTGCCTGCCTGCTTCAGTCCACACAGCGCAGGGAGCAGAAGATAGAATGAAGAGATTAGGCATAAAACATGGGCAGTCTCCATCCACCACTTCAGGGAGAAACTGGATTCACTGGGGGCAGGTGCCAAGAATTGCCCCCAGGTTTCCTGGGATGGACATGGCCTCTGTAGAGTCTTTGGGGGTAAAGGGGTATACATATGGATGTTTCTGTGGACTCCTGTGCATTGAGAAATGTCTTATGCCACTCTCCCTAGGGCATTTGCACCCATTCTCACCCCAGATTCTGGGTGCCCCTTCTTTCTGATGCAATACTTTGAGCATGGATTTGTCTATACTCAGAGCCCTGAGAGG